AACATCTAAATGTTTTACTGCCTTTATGCTATTGTCAGCAATATCTCTGAATCTAGATCTTAAGTTTGAGTAAAATGGCAGAACTTGATTAACTTAATCGTATGGGTTAACCCTCCAGTGCAGGACAGAAGATCTGCCTTAGAACGCATATTGTCTTTTCAGACAAATCAGTAAACTAAAGTCCAGTTTGCTTTCTCAAGTCTATGTAAGAATTTTTTCAGTGCTATTTCTGATTCCGTGGATAATATTCTATTTCAACAATTACAGCAATATGGTTTTCCCAGCTACTATCAGTTCTGAGGAAGGGTCACCAGACCCGAAACATTAACTCTGATTTTCCCTTCACAGATGCTGCCAGACCTGCTGAGCTTTTCCAGCAACTTCTGTTTTTGTACCTGATTTACAGCATCCGCAGTTCTTTTGGTTTTTACATCAATACAATTGTTCATTTCTCTTCATATCGGTGTGTATACTGCTGTTGGATATATCTATTTAACAATGGCCAATTAACTCAAGATAATTTACTAATTATATCACTGAGATATCATAACATTGTTAAGGAGCTACATGAGTGCAAATGTTTAATTTCTTTTATGTATCTTCAATTTTTTATTTTCCATGCTGAACCATTGTCACAAATGATGGATTTAAAAAAATATGATGAGTTCTTAGCATCAAATCTTTGATCAGTTGCTGTCTGTGGCAAGCTGTGTTCACAGTGCATTCATAAATTATATTTCCAAATTGCTGATTTTAACTATTAATTTCAATGGTCATGGAAAAAGTCGAGATCTGAGCATTGAAAATGAGAGGACCTGATCAGGTGAACATTCCAATTGAAAATATAGTTGATTCAGCATGAATACTTAAACAGGACACAATGTGGGTCTAACCCACTGAAGCCAATGTTGAGGAACCAAACTTGTTGAGGCACACCACAGCACATTGTTTTGCTCAACAAATGTAAATTGTCAGATACAAGGCTCCAATGAACCTTCTAAAGTATTAAGTTCTTAAATGTATTGACATTATTTGGGATGCAATGTCTTACCTTTATAATTATGATCTCATTCATCTGTCTTTTCTCCCAGATTAGAGTTACTAATGCTGAGATTCTGTCACTAGTAATCTCATTAAATTTTACCCATTGCTTAGGCACTTGTGTGCAGAGAAAGGAATACTTATTAATATAAAACTGCTCCAGATTTTACAAAAATTCACTTTTCGCAGTTTGAAAAAAGTTGTTTAGACAAGTCAACAGAAGTTGAATTGGGAAAGAGGGAGCAATACCATTTGCCCAGTCTTCACTGGAACCGCACATGCAGTAGATTTAGGACTGTAGAGTGGGAATTAATCTAAATAGTGGGGGGAACAATTCATGAGGTGGGGATTTGGCATGTTAAGGAGAAAACTGAAATTGCAGGGCGATGATAAAGGTAGCAGTCACAAAAATGCGACAGGAAGCAAACAGAGCATACAAACATGAAATTGCTCCGGAACATCAGAGCAGACTGGGGAAAATAGCTTTAAACTCACAAAGGGGGAAGAAGGGTTCGAGTGAAGGAGTTTTACATATCTGGAAATAAAAGTTGAGGCTGTAGAAAAGTATGTAAATATGTATAAGGCAAGCTGAGCGTGACAGGTAGAAACAGAGTGTTTAAATATAATCGTGCATGAGAGAGTAAAGTTCATGCAAGGAATTGTGGTTAAAAATACCTCTGAAATCTCTTTATCTAAATATCCAGAACATCTACATTGAGGTGTGTGAACTCCATACAGTCACCCGAGGGCGGAATCTAACCTGGGTCCCTGGCACTGTGAGGCAGCAGTGCTAACCACTAAGCCACTGTGCTGCCCAAATGATTGGGAACAAGGTGACATGAAGTTTAATGTTGGGAGGTATGAGATTATATGTGAATTTGTAAATGTTGATGTTCAGAAAAACTTAGGTGTGTCAGTACATGGAACATAAAAAATGAACATGCAGTTACAGCAAGCATTTAGGAAAGCAAATGGCATGTTGGCCTTTATTGCAAGGGAATTGGAGTCCAATAATAAAGACGTCTTGCTGCAGTTTTGTGGGATTTTGGTGAGACCGTGCCTGAGATATTCTGTGCAATTTTTGACTCTATATTTTAAGGATGTACTTGCATTGGAAGAAGTATTATGTGAAAGTTTATTAGATTGGTTCCTGGTGCAACAGCGTTGTTTTATGACAGGGCAAGTAAATTGTTTTCTGTTCTCTCGAGTTTAGAAGCAAGGCAGTCTCATTGAAACGTTATGAAGAGAATTGACAGGGTAGATACCAAGACATTTGATCCTTTAGCTGGGGAATCTAGACCAAGGGGCCACTCAGTTAGGTTTGAGATTAGAAGTTTCTTCACTCAAAGTGTTAGAAATCTTTGGAATTTTCGACCCAAAAAGGTTATGGATGCATCATCATATTGATACATCATCAAGGCTGTGATAGACAGACCTTTGGTTTCTCAGGGGCTCAAGGGATAGGGGGATAAAGGTGGCAAAGTGGACTTGAAACCTAAGGTCAGCCATTATTATTTTAAATGGCAGACCAGACTCGACAGGTCACATGATCTTCTCCTGCTCTGATTTCCTATGTTCTTTACGTACCGTTTTTCATGTACATCCCATTTTTTTCAGAAGTGAAAAATATTTAATCTTTTAAATGTAAAAAATTATATACACAATTCTATCTGAAAATTATTTTATCCTTTTAAAGTCCTTATTGCAACCAAAAAAACACCAAATACCAACTTGAGAGCAAGTGTGGAGGTGCTGGATGTATAATATGTGTCAGTGCTATCTTATCTGCCAACCATTTTCCCATAGCAGAAGGGCTAGTAAACGAGTTCTCAATCCAATAAATTAATAGCAAATTAAGGGTAAATGTAAAAGGCTGCCTGGAATTTTCCAGTAAACCAGTGGGGCCCCTAGAGTATCAAGAACAGGCTAGCTACTAGAATGTGGCCTCCCCCTGACAGAACAAAGGACCATCATTTCAGGCATACATTGTAAGGACTTCCCTGCCTACCTGGTTCCCTATCCACAACAGGTATGACCTGGCTACTGTGGTCTTATTTTAAATGATGTTATAAAAAGTGTTGAGGAAGCAGCTTAAGATGCAAGTGCCCTCTCTTGCTTACCCGAACTACAAGCTCTCCAGATTTAAGAGCCTGTCTCCCATTCTTAATTGATGGTGCAGTCATCCTCTGGTCATTAATTGAAATAAATCATTGTCAGATGACTAGCAGGACCAGTGCCCACATTTGACCACAAGTAAAGATCCAAATCTAAAACTTAAAATCCAGCCACATGTGTCAGATTTGCTAAGAGTTTTTTTCAGTGTGAGTCATTGCTATTTTATAGCAGCATGCACTGTCCATATTTCATATGGAGATTCACTCTGGACTACTGATCCAAATTGAATTTGGTATATTTTCAGTAAAATCATACCAATATAAAATGCTGATAACAGTGTGTAGCACATGCCTACTATAGAAATGGTCATTTGTTTAAGTATAGGCTGGCAAGAACCAACATTTAGTGTTTAGGGATGAACTAGTTGAGGGGATTAAAATCACAAAAATTGTACAATAGGATCATCACAAGTAAACTGTTTCCTCTGGGGGAGCAATCCTGATGTAGAGAACATAATCATTAAATTGGATCCAGGACATTTAAGATTGAAATCTGGATCCAATTTTCACACAAAGGCAGTAGAAATCTAGAACCCTCAGCCCCAAAGTTTTCCTGTGCTGCATGTCCTGAAGTTTTGAGTTGAGTAAGGGTATCCAAGAATATGGAATAAGGTGACTAACCAAAGTTGAAGTACACATCAGTAATGATCGAATAGAATGGTGGAACAGACTCCTTGAGTCTGCTGGAATTTAATTGATTAAACCAGCATCATTTATAGTGCACTGAGGTCCATCCTATCCATTAGGATTGTGGTTTCTAGGTTTATACAATGAAATGATCTCACTGGAGAAGAGAAGATTTGGCAGTGACATGATTTCCATGTTTAGGATTCTCACAGTCTAGACAATGACCTGCTATCCGGGAAATCAAAGTAAAGCACATGGCCCTCAGTTGAAAGGGAATAAGTTTAAAAAAAAAAGGCAGAAGCGCCTGAATTAGCTCATTCAGTGCAAATTAGATTTTTTTTCAGAAGAATGATATTTTGAAGTTTAGAAATGACCTGGTAAACATAGGGCTAAATTTTATGGGCCATCTTTGCAGTGCAATTTTGAGGTCAGTAAGAGGAGTTCAGGCTTTGGGGTAGAGGGAAAAGCCCTACATTTATCCTGCTTGAGCCTTGAGGGGATGAGGGAAGTGGACACTGCCTCAATTTTGACCACCTTTTAAGATTGAGTCCACCAACTTATCAACACCTATAGCTCTGGAGTAAAAACAAAAACAGAAATTGCTCAAAAAACTCAGCAAAACTGGCAGTATCTGGAGGAAGAAAGCAGAGTCAACGTTTCAGGTACAGCGACACTTCTTCAGAGCTCTTCTGGACCCAAAATGTTGACTCTGCTTTCTCTCCAGATGTTGCCATTCCTGCTGAGTTTTTCAATAGTTTCTGTTTTTGCTTCCGATTTCTGACATCAATATTTTTTTCAGTATTTTTTGCTGTTCTGGAGTGTTTGATTTAACTTTAATTGTAAGAATTAAGTCAATTATAACCGTAGGCTTGCATTGTAACAGGTCTTTCAGTCCTGATTAGCTAAGAGACCATAGTGAGTACTACATATCTAACCACTATGAGTTCGTTAATTCTTGCCAACCTCTGCCCCTGTGCATGGTCAGTGGCATCCTGGAACTCTTGATTAGTTTACCAGTGAATGAACAGCATTTTAGGTTGACTAGATTTCTTATTGGTTTCTCAAAAGTGATGGTCATCTTATTGGTGTCATTTCCTATTGTTTCCTGACTGGTTATCAGTCATGTGGAAACGTTCTTGTCATTATAGATTTTCCCTTTCGGTTTGAAGCACTTTGCTAAGATAATGAAGCATTGCAAGGTGATTTATGATTGCTTATGACAAATTGATTCACTCAAGTGTTCCAGCGAGTGCCAGAGCCTATCAATATACTTGGTTATAGGAATCATTTATAAATGTGTGACTTCACAATAGCTGCTGGTGCCTGAAACAAGTTAGCTAAAAAAAACACTTCCTTTGTTCTCCAGATACTTAGGATCACTCGCCAAGAATTAAATCTTATGAATTGTTATGAAGTTGGGTTGAGTACATGTGAATTAGAAAGCAGGATGTTAGAAGTTGTTTGTAAGAATGATAGGGGCCAAGAGTGTGTGGCCCCTTTAGGTGACGTGCTTTCTGAAGAAGGGTCCAGACCCGAAACGTCAGCTTTCCTGCTCCTCTGATGCTGCTTGGCCTGCTGTGTTCCTTCAGCTCTACACCTTGTTATCTTATATAAGAAGAGGGTTTTTGAAAATCAGTGTGAGAGCAAACTGCCATTGGAAGAGTAAAACTCTGGCTCTCACAGAAATCTATAAGCTTTCTGATTAAGCACCATCTAGAAGGTACCACGGCACTCTTAGCTAATATTCCTGACAGAAGGATTCTACGAAGAAAGAATTCCTGACTGAAGAATAGCAGAAAAGGCATAGAACATTCCAGAAGACACATCCTGCCTGTAGTTTTGAGAGTCTAAGTTTTAATTTATTTTTCTTATTACTTAGGTTTATATATGTGGGACTTGTATTTAATGGAACAGCATGCCATTAGAATTTTGATCTGTTTGGGAATAGTTAGTAGTTGAGGGGGAATTGTTTGGTTTGTTAGTAGGTCTGTTAATTTGTTCATTGTTAGAGTTAGACAAATAAATTGTTACTTGTTACTTATAATGTGAATATCAGAGATTTCTTTCATTTAACCTCTCCTTTATAACGGATTGGGAGGTGAAAGGTAGGTTATATCATTTTTTCCCATTTCATTTAGCAGATGACCAGGCAAGGTGAGCTTCCCTGGGTGTCTTGGTTTTAATTATCAAAGGGTTCAACCATCCCACCTGTAACACAACGTATAAAACTACAAATTAATTTGAAAGTAATGTATGCATATAGGCCTGTAACACTTTTTTTTGAAACATAACTTTCTTTTTAAGGCATTTGCTGTTACAAACTAAACCAATTAAAACATAAACTTGTGTCTTCAAACTATAGCAGTTCCATTTCAGAGTACCTTTTGTTAATTTGAATTCATGTTAGCATGGGGCCATATGGACAGTCTCAGCATTGACATGATATAGCCATCCATCAGAAGGTCAAAAGTGGGGATGTGCAATGATGATTGCACAATGTTCAGCTTCACATACAACACCTCAGATACTGAAACAGTCCATGTCTATATGCAGCAAGAACTAGACATCATCCAGGTTTGGGCTGCTAAGTGGCAAGCGACAACTGTGATGCACAAATGCCAGGCAATCTCCAACAAGAGAGAATCTAACTCCTTGATTGCTCCTTGATATTCAACAACATTGCCATCACTGAAACCCCATTATCAACCTCATGGGATATACCATTGACAAGAAAAGGAACTCAACCGGCCATATAAATATTGTGGCTACAGAGCAGGTTAGAGACTATGAATTCTATGTTGAGTAACACAGCTTGTATCTCCTCAATGACTGTCCACCATCAGCAAGGAAGAAGTATGATGGAATACTTCCCTGAATGAAAGCAGCTCCAACAACACTGCAGGAGCTTGGCACCATCCAAAACAAAGCAACCCCCACGTCATTTACACCCTGTCCACAATATTCAATATTCACTCCCTTACCACTGATGCACAGTGGCAGCAGGCTGCACCATACACAAGATGCATGACAGTAACTAACTAAGGAGCCTCCAATAGCACTTTCCATCCAGGAGGACACAGATGCAGATACATGGGAAAACCACTATCTGTGGGTTCCCTTCCAAGTCACGCACCGTACTGACTTAGAATTATTCTTGCACTGTTACTGGGTCAAATCCTTGAACTATCTTCTTAATAGTACTCTGAGCTGCCACACTTCAAAAATCATTAACTAGTGCCTTATTGAAGGGGAATAACAGTAAATGTTGGCCTTGACAGTAACGCATATCTTAAGAGAGAATTAAAAAAGTAGACAGATAACAGGTGCACACACACACAATTATACTCTCCACTAGTTGGATAGCAAATGTCAGTAGCTTCTTTCAGATGGCGTGATATTACAGCTCAGCATTAAATATCTAAGTGCATTGTCATTGTTGTCTTGACATACAGTCTGTCTACTAAGTGATGCCATCTGCTCTGGAGTTTTAACAAAACTACTTGGCTCCTAACTCAACTGCAAAAACTGCGCAAGTCTAAGCACGTTTTCAAACCCAGCAAGATTATTCAGGAGCTACCATTCCAAGGTGTGCATTTCTTTCTTCACAATGCGATGCGTATCAGCATTCAGGCTGATAAAGGGACAGATTTTCAAATTGCACCAATTTTTATTTCTTACACACTCTTGTTGGATAAACCAGGCAGATGAATTCTAAGTGTTGTCATATGTTTCTGACTTGTGTTCACATTCAAAGGGGTTGAGAAGACCTTGAAATATAGTTAATCTTGATAGCTAAATATGTTTAGAAGTTGAATGCATTTTTACATTATGAACATTTTACTTCTAGCCTATAAATCCAGATGAGCGCAGAGGAAGCAGGCCTCGTTCAATGGTACGATCCTTCACAATGCCATCAACTCCAAGACCTTTATCAGTTGCATCAGTGTCCTCCATGTCATCCGACAGTACCCCATCTAGGCCTGGTTCTGATGGGTATGTTTTAGAGTAAATATGATTAACTTTCTGAGAAATGTTGACACATATGAGGACAATAATTGTTACTGAATAAATTGATGTTCGTGTGCATCATGAGACTGTGAGTACTTCCAAAGCAAGACCTTATGCCTGAAAGTAATGATGGAAATGGAGTTACAAGGCATAAAATCTGATTTATGAGAAACAGAAAATGTCTTTATTTATTCTTTCAGTTCTCTTTGACATTTACTTGGGGCTTGCTTCTCGTCCTTTGATCTGTCTGGAAACGAACACCCTGGTGAGCCTATCACTAACTTCTTTAAGGAATGACAATATTTGGAAGCCCCATTGTCATTGTCTTGGGAGAAAAGGGTTAAAATTCCCTCTCTGCCCTACTGAAATCTTAATGTTGAGATAACTTGTCACAAGCAAGAGCCTGGCTGTCCATAGATGTTGAAGTACCATAAAAGGTGCAGGCACTGGGCAAAATTATTTTCTGGCCTCATTCTCCTGATCTGTATAGAGCCATACAGTCATAGAATCATACAGCATAGAAACAGACCCTTTGTCTAACCAGTCCATACTGACCATAATTCCAAACTAAACTAGTCCTAACTGCCCGCACTTGGCTCATATCCCTCCAAACATTTCTTATTCATGTACTTATCTAAATGTCTTTTAAATGTTGTAACTGTCCTTGCATCCACCACTTCCTCTGGAAGTTGATTCCACATGTGAACCACTGTCTGTGTAAAAAAAGATTGCCACTCTTTTTTTTTTAAATCTTTTTCCTCTCCCCTAAAAAATATTCCCCCTAGTCTTGAAGTCCCCCACCTGAGGAAAAAGATATGTACTATTCATCTTATCTATACCCCTCGTTATTTTGTAAACCTCTATAAAGTCACCTGTCAACCTCCTATGGTCTAGTGGAAAAAGGTCCCAGCCTATCCAGCCTCTCCTTATAATTCAAACCCTCCATTCCCAGCAACATCATGGTATATCCCTTCTGAGCCCTCTCCAGCTTAAGAGTACCATTCCTATAACAGGAAGACCAGAACTGGACACCGTACTCCAGAAGAGGCTTCACCAATGTCTTGTTCAAATTCAGCATAACTTCCCAACTACTATACTCAAAGGTCTGAGCAATGGAGGCAAGCATGCTAAATGCCTTCTTAACCACCCTATCTACATGTGATGCAAACCTGTAGGAATTATGTATCTGAACCCTTCAGCCTCTTTGTTCTACAACACCACCTTAGGCCCTACTTTAGTTGTATGTGTTGCCTTTGTTTGTTTTATCAAAATGCAATACCTTGCATTTATCCAAACTAAACTCTATTTGCCACTCTTCAGCCCGTTGACCCAACTAATCAAGATACCTTTGTAATCTTAGATAACGTTCTTCACTGTCCACTCTACCACCAATCTTGGTGTCATCCACAAATTTACTAGCCATGCTTTCTATATTCTGATCTAAATCATTTATATAAATTACAAACAAAAGTGGACCTAGCACCAATCCCTGTGGAACACCACTAATCACAGGTCACCAGTCCAAAAACAACCCTCCACCATCACACTGTCTCCTGCCGTTAAGCCAATTTTTATCCAATTGGCAAGCTTACTCTAAATTCCATATGACCTGACTTTACTAATTAGTCTACCATGCAGAACTTTGTCAAAGTCTTTGCTAAAGTCTAAGTAAACAATGTCTACCATTCTGGCCTCATCAATATTCTTGGTTACTTCCTCAAAATACTCAACCAAGTTTGTGAGATACAATTTATAAAGAGTTGCATAAATATACAAACTCTTGTGAACTGCAGAGGTCCCAAATCAGAAATGAGAAGATAAGTAGTGCGGTACAGAGAAGGTTTAAACCAATCAGATATGGGAATGCTAAAAGTTTTAAACCCAGATCAAAAGGATAAATTGCTGCCATCAGTAGCAGTCATCAAGTTAGAGGGGCAAATATTGAAGAATGGGTTCCAGTACAAATACAAAGAACGTAGGAGATTGGAGTACATGCAGTTAGCAAAAATACCAATATTGGCATTCTAGAATAAATCAAGGTCTAAAGCTACGGAAGGATAAAATATCTCAAAGATAAAACTACAAAGAGAATAATATTATTGATGAATAATATATCTCCTATCAAATGGGTTGTTGCAGGAGCAGGAAGAATAAGATGGAATACAGATAGATCAGGGCAGCAGATTACTAATTGTAATATTTAGGGAATTTCTTAGACAGATAAGCAGAGGTGGAGAAAATGTTGGTGTACATCATAAGGCAATTTAAACATTCCGGAGGTGGAATGGACTTCTGATGACAATCAATACAAATGTGTCATAGTGCAAGCAATTTACAAGGCTGACATATCAGAGAGGGTACTAGAGCAGGTACCATGGGTGGAATTTAATGCCCTGCACCTTAATTTTCCCTCAAGTTCAACTCATTTATCCATGTTTAGACCAAAGCTGTAATGAGGTCAGAAACGTAATGGACCTTGCAGAAAGTAAATATTGAACAAGTTATTGTTAAGTGCTGCTGGTAGCACTATTGATGACACCTCCCATCACTTTGCTGATATTTGAAAGTAGACTGATGGAGCAAAATTCAGCCATGTTGAATTATCCTGCTTTTTATGGACGGACCGTGCTTGGGCAATTTTTTGTGGCTGGTAAGGTGGCAAATTTCCTTCCCTAAAGATCATTAATATAGTAGATGGGCTTTTATAACAATCCATATTTTCTAATTTTATCAATTGAATGTAAATTCAACCAACTTCAACAGTAGGATTTAAATCCATGTCCTCAGAGCATTAGCCTGTGCTCTGGATTACTAAATCACCACCTATGCCACCAGTGCACCATCAATGCTCACTGAAAGACCTCACCTCACCACCACTAGGGTTAGTCCAGAAATGTGCAGGGGATTTGTCATGCCAGAACCACAGCAGGCATGCCCATATAGATTTGTTTCTCAGCTCCTCCTAGCAGGAATGGAGGTAGTCTGTCATTCAAAAACACTCTGAGCTTGATCAGGAAGAGCTGCAGGCCAAGAACAGTCAACTTAGCTGCCCTGGCGTCCATCCCCTTTGAATTCCACCTTCCACCTATGACCTGAATTCCAGTGATGATTCCAGGCCTTGGGCAGGTGTCAAACTGGCAGCAACTACCACCTTCCCTATGGCATTGCCTTTCACTGGAGAAGCTGACCTCTGGTTTGTAGATATCAGCAAGTGGGTCTTCCAGTCCCTAGTGGCATTTAATTTGGCAGACCTAACTGAAATAGGGAACGCCAGGCCCTGCCATCTTTCGAACTGACAGACCCCTTTATTGCTTCCATTAAATACCGACCTATGACGTGTTCGATGGTTATTTATCAAAGCTGTTTAATCAGTTGGAGATAATGAAAAATGCTGGGATAGAATATTGGGTCTAGTTAAGTTTATGCTGCCGTAAAAGTAATTAAAAATTACAGCTGCACTAGACTTTGGAAAAGCAGAGTTTGGGTCCTTGAGAAGAATCTTAAGGAATAATAATTCATAAAACAAAATACAACACAAGAAAAATGGAATTTTAGGCCATTGTACAGGATGAGTCATGAAGAAAGTGTATTTTATAAAGCAGGAAGACAAAATCTATACAACCGAAGTTTAAGAAGGAAGTTCAAAAAGCAGGAAAACAAACAAATATTTAATATTAAATATGAGGTAGATTGGAATTTATTCTGGGATCTAAGGATAGAAGAGAAAATATTAGAAATGTCAAAGAAATATAGTGATAAATCACATGCAGTTTCGATGAATCTAGAGAAATTATACAACTATGATAGTCACAAGAAGTTCAAAGGGCAGGTCGGGCCATTGAAGGATAGATTGGGTAAAAGTTCCTTTGAATCATCAGGGTAGGATAATATATTAAATACATTATTTTCATCGATTTTTACAAACTGAATTGGTAATGATGACTGCAAATAAGCCTGAATAGTAGTAACAGGGACCAATCAATACTGCAATCTTTCAGAAATGAATTCTAATCTATCAAAAGTTTGCTGAAAGACAAGCTGCAAATGTACGTGGTTTTGGTTGTTGACTTGCTAGCCAAGCTGGTAAGTTTGTTTGCAGGCGTTTTGTCACCATATAAGGTAACATCTTCAGTGCGCCACCAGTGAAGCTTCGGTGTTCAGTCTCGCTTGCTATTTATGTGTTTTGGTTTTCTGGGGTGGGTGGCATCACTTCCAGATTTGATTCTTAGTGGTTGGTATATGGGGTGAAGCTCTACATTTTTGTTAATGGAGTTCTGGTTTGAGACCAGGCCTCCAGGAATTCTCGTGCATGTCTTTTGTTGACTTGTCCTAGGATGGCTATGTTGACTCAGTCGAACTGGTGTCCCTCTTTGTCCATGGTATTGAAATGCGTGAGAGTTGGTCATGTCTGTTGGTAGCTAGTTGGTGTTTGTGAATTCTGATGGTTAGTTTCCTTCCAGTTTGCCTTATGTAATGTTTTTGGCAGTTCACAAACACCAACTAGCTACCAAGAGACATGACCAACTATCACTCATTTCAATACACATGGACAAAAAAGGACACCAGTCAACTGGGACAACATAGCCATCCTAGGACAATCCAAACAAAGACATGCATGAGAATTCCTGGAGGCCTGACACAAACCAGAACTCCATTAACAAATACGTAGAGCTTCACCCCATATACCACCCACTAAGAAACAAGTCTGGAAGTGATGTCACCCACCCCAGCAAACCAAGACACACAAATAGCAAGCGAGACAGAACACAGATGCTTCACCAGAGACGCACTGATGATGTTACTTAGCGTGGTGACGAAATGTCTGCAAACAAACTTACCAGCTCAGCAAGCAAGTCAACAACTGTATCAACAACCCAAGGTACACATCTTCTCAAAAACCTTGAATACATGATTTCCTAATACTTCCTCATGGTTCAATATGCTGGAACTCATTTGTGTATTTGCCAACTACTGGTTGTGTAATGATTTCTAATTGAAAGCCAGGACAGAAATGGGTTTAAAGTTTTGTTTTGTTTAAAATAAAGACATTTTCAGTTTTTAAAATGTTAGAAAGTATATAGCTAGGGTTTAACCATTAATTTTATTTTAGAAATAAATCCACATACAGAATAGGACAGCAAATGAGTTTGACTGAATGTTACTTTTTGTGAATGAAAGCCATTAATAGCCCATAAAATCATTTAAGATTGCAGCAGAATTTATTTCCTGTTTCCAATTTAGATCATCTTAATGATTCAAACTATATAATTTTCAATCTAATCATTATTTCACAATACAGCATAACTGAAAATTCCAAAACCTCTTACAAAATCTTGTTCTGGAGCAAGTACGTTATCAATAATAGTAATGTCAATATTAAAATAATGCAGAGTAGAAAACCCAGGATATGCGTACTTACCTCTGGGGAATTTTGCATTGTCACCAAAATAAAGAATTGTTTAAAATTTAAACTTAAAAAATAAAAATTGGTAAACATTCTTTGGATTGTAATTTTATGAAATGCCCATTAGTAACATTTTATACAAAAAATATTTTTCAAGATCTTGTTTTTTTAAATTACATTAATAGAAACAGGTTTTAAATTGTAACCTCAGATTTTAATTATTTATAAAAGAAAATCCATTTCTTTTCATTATCCAATATTGATTATTTCAGATTTATTCTTGAGCCACTTCTTCCAAAGAAAATGCATTCAAGATCTCAGGATAAGTTGGACAAAGATGAAACAGACAAAGAGAAGAGGGAACGAAGAAAGGAAAAAAGGAATAGCAAACATCAAGAAATGTTTGACAAAGAATTTAAAACTACTGATATTTCTGGCCAGTCTACAGAGGCAGTGATTCTCTCTGAAACGGTAATTGCAAGACAATTTATGAACTAGGAGCCTCTGTCAACTTCTGGAAAAAGTAACTGCCATTTAAAATTCAGTGTTTCACCTGACAGGTTCTGAGAACCATGAGATAAATAAGAGGAACCATCTTAATGAATGCTAGAATCGTTTAGCATTGAATTTTATATATCTGTAAGAGATAATGTAACATTAAGAAATTGCACAGTTGACATTGAAAATGTAATACAAATCGCTATTAATGATTCTCCATATTTTAAACCTTCACGTTAAGTCACATTATAAGGATTTTTTAAATAAATATAATGTCATAATCAGATTTTCTAAAAGGGATAATGGATTCGCATTCAAATTTCAAAACAAAATTTTAGAGAGAGT